TCACCCGCTCAGCCAACTCATGTTAGCCTCCGATCTGAAGCATGTCCTCATCGTTTGCCCTGAAGGGTCAAGCAACAAGCGTTGCCAGTCGACTTGCCTCATTGTTGCCGCGCCAGTCGCGGTGGCAGATCTTCCCGTCACGAACAGCATAGTCTAACAGTAGAGAAGATGGGAACCGACGTTCCCCCACGATGTTCCGTGCAGTCAGTCCTGCGTCTTCGACCGCATGTTTTCACCAAGACGACGGGCATACGCAATGGTAGCAGCGCAGTCGATGTGCATCATGCCGTGGCACTCACATTGCCGCAGAATCCTCGCCGTCTCGCGCCCTTTTTCGGGTTCCTTCACATAACCGGACCACCCCAAACATCGCCGATACCACTTCGCCTTTCTCGCCACTGTTGACCACTGACCAACCAGCAGTTCGCAAAGACGGCCACAACATCTCGAAACCAATGTCGTCCAGGTACACATGGTGTCCAGGGGCTAGTTGATCCTGACAGTGTGTGGGTCCGAAGCAGTACGCCCAGGGCTCTGAACACACCGTCGTGGATCAGGCAGAAGCCCGCGACGGAAAAGTCCCTTGAATCTTTGATGCACTCAGCGGCTGCCTTGACCTCACCGTCCAACAATTCCCTTCGCCCGACCCCGTGAGCCGAGCAGCAGCATCTCCTGTGATAAGTGGTGCCCGTCGCCGCATGACACTAACGGAAACTGACGTCTGGCAACGAGAACTGAATCCTTTTTTGGAGTCCAGTGCGCACAGGCAATCATCGCCTTCAATGCAGTCTTCTGATGATCATGCCATCCTGGAGTTTTCTTCTGACGTGTCAAATCATATGCAGGTTACCAACACATCGGGCCGCTCCAGTACCTGAAGCCACTCTGCCTGCATTGTTCGTCGCCCTCCAGAGCTCGTCTTGTGCCGGCCGTGATCAGGTTGCCGAAGAACGCGGGAGAACATTTGCGCACTGTCCTCGAAACAACTTTGGATGACTTCCTCGGTTAGCGTCTTGGTCCTCACGACGTGTACAGACACCTTCGTCACCACTGCTGTGTTCACCACCTCTGGATTTCTTTTTCAAGCAGTCGGGCTGGCCAGACAACTGAAACCAATAATCGCGCCTCTCCGAACACCGTCAGCCGCTTTTGCTCCTAGCGTGCGAAGTCGCCGAAGTTCTGTATCGGGAAAGCCCTGGTTGACCGACCCCCGGATTGACTTGGCTGAGGGGGCAGCCCACTGATGCGACCAGTGGGGTCGTCGATCACGTTGACAGACCTGCGTGGAGGAACCTCTCGCGCATCGCAGTCAGCCGCTCCGCCGAGCACCTTGACGCACATATAATGAGAGCACGCTCTGCAGGAAACCAACAACTTCCCCATTCACTAACGATCTAATCCACTGCGCCGTCTCCCGCCCTGGCCAGATCGCCAGACACGGCAAACGTGCCTCATTGCTTGTACCTCTCCGAAGCGTCCTTCTGCTGGCGTAGGTTTACCTCGCCTGCTGGCAGGTCGCGGGACCTTCCGCTTAACGCTCCGCCTCGAATAACCAACTCCATCCATTTCTCACGTTGGATGTCCGCCATCACTGCCGAATATGAGATCGCCTGTGGGATGTGAGACCGTGCACTTTGGTGACTAGTGTCTTGCGCTGTTCGGGAGCCTCGATCGCGACCCCGACTGTGCTCCACCCCAATTCTTCATTTGTTGCAGCAGGTTCAAGATTACCCTCCAAACTGGAGTGTCATCCATATCTTACTAATACTTCAGCCCTTCCAGTTTGGAAAACAGGTTAACACTGCGGAACCGTGGTCCTTTGGCCCGACCCAGGTACGCGGCCCACGAATCTTGTTCCAGTTTGAGAGCTCGATACACAGATCCGTCTTCAAATAAGCGGCACCACTCCGTGAATGTTCCGACTGTTTCGAATTCCGATTTTACGTATGTGGGATTTTTACATTCGACCATGGAGAATTCGAATTCCTGCTCTTCGGGATCGAACCTGGTATAATGAATCGAGAACGCTTTGCTCCCCCCAGACCATTGGCTCCTCGGTCATCTCATGAACAATGAGAAAGACAGGGGAAGTGGTGTCATCGGAGCTCTTCAACCACCTTGACCTTGCAATCGAAAGAGCCGAGCAGCTGAGTCTGGATATCAACATCGCGCACAAACTCACCACAAGTAGCCTCAGGCGTTGTCCTGTTGCTGCAGTTTATCAACTCCGGCCAATCTGAATCTGTCTGAAGTACCTCCTCGGGGTCCGTGTTCTAATCTCTTGCCGGGATACATGGCCAATCCAAATCCAGCATTACAGAAGCGATGTAGTCGAGGAGATCGAGATTGTCCCAAGTGTCTCCGATGCCCGTGACAGCGTAGACCGCCTGCTGCTCCTCCCCCTAGTCCTCCACGTCGTCCTCGTCCTCCTCGTCGTCGTTCTCCTGGTCAACGTCGTCGCCCCCCTCCTCTTCCCCCTCGCCCTCCTTCTCCTTCTCCTTTTGCAGGGGCCGCTTGCATTTCTTTCTGCAATGTCTGTGCACCTACTATTACTTCATATTTCCCACATCTAAATCTTTCGCTTTGCCACTACAACTCTTGACGCATGCGCGGCTACATCTTAAGTGGTGTCTTCCGCATCTTATTTACATCTTATTCGCATAGTTCCAGACGCCACCGTAGGCCATTACCTGTTTTCCCTTTCCTCCTGCTCTTCGTCTCTTCATGTCTCCTCCGGGCTCGCGTTGGGCACCTGGGCGACTCTGGCACGCTTGAGCTAGTGAGGGGTGCGCACAAGCGAGTGTTTACGATATTTTAGCTGTTTCCACCCGCATCTCATATCGCGTATTTTCGTTGGCGCTGTTCTTTGCTTACGGCAAATTGCTGGATGATGAGGCTGTCGTCATCCACGGCAGTCGCATTTGGCAGCCACGATGCCTGCTCCTTCTTGTCGCCCCTTTGTCTTGCCTTTCTCTGCCCTGCCCTCCTCTTCCCCCTTGCCCTTCACCCTTTTTCCGCTTATCCTCCTCCCCCTTCTCCTTCTCGTCACTTGCCCGCTGGCTGCCCCTGCAGTCTTCCCTGGCCGCGTCAAAGGTCGAGGAAACGCCAACACGGCTATAGGGCGTGCGGATCAGCGACGGTTCCCGCTTCCATGCGGTATCCACGCGCACCTTTACCAAATCATGCGGCATTGGCGCCCCAGGAAGCGACCAGAGGTGATGAGAACTATTCGCTCCGACTCTTTTGTCTGATATGTGATTGGTATCACATTGATTAGACTAATGTTTGTCATCTTTGTCATTCTGCATTATTATGGGTATTGGCTTTCACGTGAGAATCTCGGCGCATTGTCTGCGTTGGGCTCTCTAGCTGGCTTTGAGAGATTGTCTGCATGCATTTGTCTGTACGCGTTCGAGCCTTGAATGTGATGGTCCAACTTGAGCGCCAGAGCTAGCACCAGTGACGGTCACTGAGAGCTTTCAAACCGTCTGGTGCAGAAGCTCGCTGACCAGACACAGACAGTTCGTGGTAATGTTTGCTGCATCTGGCGAAGGAATCTCGATTATGAGCGGCGATTGCAGATGATTGGAGCCTTGCACTGCCAGCCTTTGGCTTGATGAGCGGCGAATGCTGAATTCACCAGACTGGTACTGTTCGCCCACCTCCACCTTTCATCGCTTGATTAGGTTTGTGATGTTGTTGCTCTTGCGGACGGGTTCATCTGTAGGAAGCGTCCAGAGGTAATGATGACCATTCGCTCCAACTCTTTTGCCTGATATGTGATGGACGTCGAATTGGTCAGACTCTGATGTTTGTCATCTTTGCCATCGCTGATTATTCCGGGTATTGGCCGTCGATTGCGACTCTTGGCACATGGTGTATTTTGTGCTCTCTAGCTGGCTTGGGGGGAAGTCCTGCATGCCTTTGCCTGGACGGCGTCAGAAGCCTGAATGTGATGGTCCAATTTGAAAGCCAGAGCTAACACCAGTGATTGTCATTGATAGCTTTTTTAACAGTCTGATGCAAATGCTCGTTGACCGGACAGACGCAGTTTGTGTTTCGCTTGCCGCGTCTGGCCAAGGACTCTCGATAATGCGCGGCGATTGCAGATAATGGGAGCCTTTGCCTGATGTGTGGTGCTGTTCGCTCATCTCCAGCTTCCCTGGCTTGTATAGGTTTGTGATGTTGTTGTTTTTGCGGGTGAGTTCATTTGAAGGAATTGACCAGAGGTGATGAGAACCATTCGCTCCGACTCTTTCGCTGCCTGGTATGTGATGGACAATGAATTGGTCAGACTCTGATGCTTGTCATCATTGCAATCGCTGATTCTTCTTGGTATTGTCCATCGCTTGCGACTCTTGGAGCATTGTGTGTTTTAGGCTCTCTAGCTGGCTTGGGGGGGAGGGAGTCCTGCATGCATTTGCCTGGACAGCGTCGGAGCCTTGAATGTGATGGTCCAACTGGAACGCCAGAGCCAACTCCAGTGACGGTCATTGATAGCTTTCTTAACCGTTTGATGCAGACGCTCGTTTGCTCGTTGACCGGACAGACGCAGTTTGTGTGTTCGCTTGCTGCATCTGGCCAAGGACTCTCGATAATGAGTGGCGATTGCAGATCATGAGAGCCTTGCACTGCCTCCCTTTGGCCTGATGGGCGGTGAATGCTGAATTCACCAGATTCTGGTCATGTTCGTTCATCTCGAGCTTTCATCGCTTGTATTAGGTTTGTGATGTTGTTGCTCTTGCGGGCGATTTCATTTGAAGGAAGTAGGAAGCGACCAGAGGTGATGTTAACCATTCGCTCCGACTCTCTTGCCCGATATGTCATGGACATCGAATTGGTCAGACCCTGATGATTCTGATGGGTATTGGCCATCGAGTGCGACTCTTGGCACATTGTTGTGTGTTGCATGCTCTCTAGCTGACTTTGGGAGGATGTCCTGCATGTGTTTGTCTGGACTGCGTCGGAGCCTTATGTGATGATCCAAATTGAAAACCAGAGCTAACACAGTGACGGTCACTGATAGCTTTTTAACCGTCTGATGCAGATGCTCGTTGACCGGACAGACGCAGTTTGCGTTTGGCTTGTTGCATTTGGCCAAGGACTGTCGATAATGAGCTGCGATTGCAGATTATGAGCTTTTGTCTTATGTGTGTTGATTGTTGAATTCACCAGACTCTGGTCCTGTTCGCTCATCTCCAGCTTCCATGGCTTGTATAGGTTTGTGGTGTTGTTGTTCTTGCTATCATTTCATTTTCAGGAATGGACCAGAGGTGATGTTAACCATTTACTCCTACTCTTTTGCTGCCTGATATGTGATGGACATCGAATTCGTCAGACTCTGATGTTTGTCATCGCTGATTCTTCTGGGTATTGGTTATCGCGTGTGACTTTTGGCACATTGTGTGTTTTAGGCTCTCTAGCTGACTTTGGGAGGATATCCTGCATGTATTCGTCTGGACGGCGTTGGAGCCTTGAATGTGATGATCCAACTTGTATGCCAGAGCTAACACCAGTGACGGTCACTGATAGCTTTTTTAACCGTCTGATGCAGATGCTCGTTGACCGGACAGACGCAGTGCTTGTAACATTTGGCCAAGGACTTTTTGATAATGAGCGGCGATTGCAGATGATGAGAGCATTGCACTGTCACGCTTTGGCCTGATGGGCGGGGAATGTTGAATTTACCAGTTTCTGGTCCTGTTCGCTTATCTCCAGCTTTCACGGTTTGTATAGGTTTGTGATGTTGTTGCTTTTGTAGAGGATTTCCTCTTTAGGAAGTGTCCAGAGGTGATGATAACCATTCGCGCGGTTCTTATGCCTGGTATGTATGGACATCGAATTTGTCGGACTTTGATGCTTGTCATTGTTACCATCGCTGAATAGATATTGGCAATCGCGTGCGACTTTTGGCACATTGTCTTTTTTAGGCTCTTTAGCTGACTTGGGAGATGTCCTGCATGTATTTGTCTGGACGGCGTCGGATCCTTGAATGTGATGATCCAAATTGAAAACCAGAGCTAACACCAGTGACGGTCACTGATAGCTTTTTAACCGTCTGATGCAGATGCTCGTTGACCGGACAGACGCAGTTTGTTGTTTGCTTGTTGCATTTGGAAATGGACTCTCGATAATGAGTGGCCATTGCAGATCATGAGAGCCTTTCACTATCCATCTTCGGCCTGATGTGTGGTGAATATTGAATGCACAAGGTTTTGATGCTAATTGTCAGGCTATCCAGATTTTATGGCTAAACTTTGTATTGTAGTTGTGTTATGCCGCATTTGTCGAAGAGCTCGTTCGTGGGAAGTGATCTCAGGTGATGAAACACTTTGCTATCACTCTGTTGCCTGATGCGCCATGAGAATCGAATTCACCAGACTTTGATTTTCGTCCTCTTTGCCATCGCTGTATTCTTCTTTGTACTGGCTTTTGCGTGCGACCCTTGGCACATAACGTGCCCTGGGCTCTGTAGTCGTCTTTGGGGGAATGGCCTGCGTGCGTATATCTGGGCAGCATCGGAGCCTTGTACGTGAGGATCCAACTTGAATGCCAGAGCTAACACCAGTGATGGTCATTAATAGCTTTTTAACCGTCTGATGCAGATGCTCGTTGACCGGACAGGCGCAGTTTGTGCTTTTGCTTGTTGCGTTGGGCCCATGCCTCTTGTTTCGGGGTTGCGATTGCAGATGATGAGAGCCTTTTCACTACCACAGATTTGCGTTGATTTGTGATGAAAGCTGAATTCGTCAGACTCTGGTCTTGTTCGCTCATCTCCATCGTTCATGGTTTGTACTAGGTTGGTTAGCAGAGCGACGACAGTGCCGTTGTGTCCGACTCTCGACAGCGTGAATAAGTGAGGTGGCTGAGCCTGAGTGAGGATGATTGAGTCTGAGTATGGGTGCATCTGAGTGTGAGTCTGAGTGTGAGTGAGTCGGAGTGGGTCTGAGTGAGGAAGTGTTCTGGCTGAGTCTGGGTGAGGAAGAGTGAGTCTGAGTTGAGGAGAAGCGGGGGAGGGTCGCCTCCTTCCTTCCTGAGGAGTCGGGGGCGTCTAAGTATTAAGAAGAATCCCACCTGAGGATACGGGGAATGAAGCATAATTATAGTAATAGTATCAGCGGTAACAATGGCGCAACATTGAATGATCGCCTGGCATCCTCGTGGCGCCGCACCACTGCGGCCGCGCCGGCGGCGGCGAAGGCGGCAAGGACGACAAGCCTGCAAAAACCAAGGACGCCGAGGACCCGTACATGCTCTTGTCGTCGTCGTGGCCGCCACCGTCGCCATAGCCGCCGTCGTCGTCGTCGTGGCCGCCGTCGTCGTCGCTGTCGTCGTCGCCGCCGTTATCGTCGTTGCCAGCGCGTGCGTCTTCGCTTTCGACTGCATCCTTTCCCTTCTTCTCTCTGTCCCCCCCTCACCTGGTTGGAGGAGGATGAGGACGAGGACGAGAAGGAGCAGGATCGACCCACTGTGTACCAACGACGGCGCAGTACACCCTCCCGTCCCGAGTCTCCTCCCCATTCGTCACGACACGCACGGTGGACCTCCTCCTCCTCCTGCTCCTCCTCCTCCTCCTGCTTCTCCTGCTTCTCCTCCTCCTCCTCCCCCTCCCCCTCCTCCTGCTCCTCCTTCCCCTGGCCATCCTCCCCCTCCTCCTACACCTCCTCCACCTCGCTCATCCGTCGTCGTTGTCGTCGTCGTCGTCCTCGTCGTCCTCGTCGTCGTCGTCGTCGTCGTCGTCGTCGTCGTCGTCGTCGTCGTCGTCGTCGTCTCCAGGCTCACCGCGCGGAGCGGTCCCCTGGAACCACGGGCGCCCCCACGGGCCCGCCACGCAGGCGCGAGATCCTTTCTTCGGGAGGAGAAGAAACACACAGACACAAGGAATTGTCGATTCCCCAGAAATGTAGGGAAATCTGGGCAGTGGGGGGAAGACAGGACACCCAGAGAATGTGGGAAAATGAGGGGAATCCTTTTAGTTGTGTGTATTTCTTTGTGTGCCCCAAGGCCCCTTCGTTTCCGAAGGAACTACCTGCGTCCTTCGTCCAGTGCGGCAAGTCTTGAGGGGCCCGCTTTCCACCACCAACACCAGAAGTTGGAGGGGGTCCTCCTCCCCCTCGTCCTCCTCCTCCTCGTCCTCCACCTCCTTCCCCCCTCCAACTTGTGGTGGTGGTGGTGGTGGTGGAACATGGGCCCATGAAGTCCGGGTCTTCATGGTCGAGGAAGTGCGCTGTCAGCAGGCCCGCTCCGAACATGGGCCGTCCTTCCTCCGTGTAACCGTTCCATAACTTCAGGCTCCTGGCCACAGTTTGCACTTAGGCTTGACGAGGGAAAGAGAGAACGAGAGAGAGAGAGAGACATATAAGGGAGATAACCCCATTTTGAAAAAGAGGCCCTTCCATATGGGTAAATTGTGACGACTGTTGTACTCGTGGAACTGAGCATCCCAGAAGCATTTGGCGAGCGCCCCTTTTTGAAAAGGAACCGCCCTCCATCCGTGTAATTGTTTGACTTGTTTGAGGCGAGTGGGCGCGGCGCCATTGCGAGAGCTCATTTTTGAAATTCGTCCGCCACCCATCCGCACAACTCTTGGAACATGGAAGCTTCATGATCGTAGGCGGTGGGGAAGTCTCAGGCCCGCCTTGAGGACACGCCAGGTGGTGCCACGGGGAGGAGGAGGATGGCTAGGGGGAGCGGTTGCTTGTGTGTGTGATTATCCGTAAGGGTTTCGCCCCCTGGGGTTTCGCCCCCTGCCGTCGGGCCCCCTGTCTATCATAATGGGATATCTCAGGGTCGCGTCGGTGCGTCTTTGCGCTGCCTTGGCGCATCTGGGCATGCGGGAGCAGATGAATCATCAGCGCATGTTGAGGCGTTGGCATTATCGAAGACGCCTACGGCGAATCACCGCCGCTCCCTGCCTTTTGGCATCGCCCATGTGGCCGAGCGTTGTTGCAAGAGCTCTGTCAAGCTATCGGACCGTGTGTTCCCCCAACCGTTGTGGAAACCCTTCGGGGAACACTTGAATGAGGATGGCGGGGAAGATCAGGAGGAGGAGGAGGAGAAGGAGGAGGAGGAGAGGGAGGAGAAGGAGGCGGAGGAGGAGGAGGAGGAGGAGGAGGAGGAGGAGGAGGAGGAGGAGGAGGAGGAGGAGGAGAGGAGACGGAGCAGGAACAGGAGGAGGAGGAGGAGGAGGAGGAGGAGGAGGAGGAGGAGGAGGAGCCTCTGGGGGCGCTATTGGGACCTCCTGGGAGCTTCCTGAGAGCCTCTTGGAGGCATCTTGGGGGCCTCCTTGGGCCTCTTGGGGGCCTTAGGGGGCTTCTCGGGGGCCTCTCTGGCCGTCTCGGGGCATTCCTGGCCCGTCGGACGCCGTCGGAAGCCGTCTTGGGGGCCTCTTTGGGCCGACTTGAAACCCTCCTGGGGTGCTCCGGGGCTGTCTTGCAGGCCGCCTTGGGCGTCTTGGAGGCCTCTTGGGCCTTCTAGGGGCCCGGGTGGCCTCTCGGCCCGTTCTGGGGCCATCCTGGAGGCCTCTTGGGTGATCTTTCGGGTCTCTTGGGCCGTCTTGGGGCGTCTGAAGGCCGAAAGGCGCACATGACAAAGTCAGTCGAACACCTAAGGAAGATCCATGGTTTTGGTCTCCTCTGGCCTTCCTGGAGGCCCTCTTGGAGGCCTCTTGGGCCGTCTTTGGGACCTCTTGGGGCCTCTTGGGCCGTCTTAGGCCATCTTAGAGCCATCTTGGGCCGTTTTGGTGGGCTCCTGGCCCGTCTGACGCCGTCGCAAGCTGTCATGGGGGCCTCTCTGTGCCGACTGGGGTCCCTCTTGGGATGCTCCATCTTGGAGGCCGTCTTGGGCGTCTTGGAGGCCTTTGGCCGTCTTGGGGCCCTCCTGGGGCGGTCTTGGGGGCCTCATGGGCCGTTCTGGGGCCATCCTGGAGGCCTCTGGGGCGATTTTTGGGCGATCTTTGAGGGGCTCTTGGGCCGTCTGGTCAATCCGTGGGCCGCCCTGGCGTTGCAATTTCGCCAGGCACTCATGATCCATCTGATGGTGCTTCCACGGGTAGGGGGCCACATGCGAACCCTACCCCTACGCCCCACGATTTCTGATGGGGAGGGTTCACTTCGTTCTCCCCCTAAGGGTGGGGTTCACTTCGTTCGGGAGCTCACGAGCGAAGGGAACCCCACCCTCCCCCTCAGAAATCGTAGGGGGCAGGGGTAGGGTTCGTGCTCCCCAGGTCATTCCGATCTTGCTTGTGGTGCTGCTCCTCCCTTCCAGGCCTTGTCACGGGCACGGGCGATGGCACGGGCGAGTCTAATGCAATGGCCTCCTGGAAGCAGGGGTCGCGGCACTGCCGAGGCTGAGCAGGTTGCTCCGTCCTTTGGTCCGTGTGTGGGCAAAGGCAGGGCTCGGAGTGAGGACACAGACGTGGATCTCCAGTGCTGCTCTCTTGCTGCTGGTCGCGTACTGTCCTGTGGCGCCCGTCTGCGTTTACAGCATCCTCGCGTTGATCGGCGCGATCGCGTTGGCCAGCCACGTCCTGCAATATTCCATATGATTCCCGCGGCGGTTGAGTGCGTGAAGACCGCGCGCAGCGACGCTCTCCACGATGACGTGTCCGAGGTGCAAGTTTCTCTATACACTGCGGGCGCCTATACACTGCGGGCGCAGGTAGTGTGGCTTTTCGGCCCCGAGTAGCTCTGTTGCCGGGCCCGTAGTTGGGGGCGCAGGGACGGGATAGGGATTGGGCCGAGCCGAACAAGGTGCGCACGTTGTGCCACGCATCCCCGTCAGTCTCGGGATCCAGAAAATTATGCACCCTCCCTCCCCTGCCTTCACCCTTCAGCCCCCTGCCTCTGCCTCGTCCCTCCCCTCCCCCTCCATTGCTTCCCCGAGGGCGCCAAGGCGGCGAAAAAGGAAAAGGCCGTGAAGCAAGACGGCAAAGACAAGCAGGGCAAGAGCGGCAAGGCTAGCAGAGGGGGGTCCTGGGGGGAGGGGGAGGTTGCCGCTCCCCCGCCCTCTCTCCACTTGCTCTCCCTGTCAGTCCCGCCCCGCCTCCCCTCCCTCCTCCCCGTTGGCGTCGTCGTCGTCGTCGTCGTCGTCGCCGCCGTCACCATCGCCGTCGCAGTCGCCCTCACCGTCGAGGTCGTCGTCATCGTCGTCGGCGTCGTCGTTGGCGTCGGCGTCGGTGTTGTCGTCTGTCCGTCGTCGTCGCCGTCCGTCCGTCCGTCCATCCGTCGGGTCCAGTCCGGCCCCTGCGAAGGCGGGCGTGGCCGGCCCGCCCCCCGCCAAAGCCAAGAAGGACAAGGGCAAGGACGACGCCCCCGTCCCTCCCTGCCGCCGCCGCCCTTGCCGTCGACGCCGTCGACGGCGGCGTCGGTGGCGACGACGACGGCGGCGGTCGCGCTGGCGGCTGCGGCGAGGGCGGCGGCAGCAGCGTCGCGGCTGCGGCGAGAGTGGCAGGGAAGGCGGCGAGGATGGCGGAGCGGACGAGTCTCCAGGATCGAGGTCCGACAGATTTTGGATTCGTTTGTTCGCTTGTTGTTTTTGTTGTTTGTTTTTTCAGCGGATCGAGTTTGTTCGTACATGTTTTTCTCTTGCAAATCCATGTGTTTAGGGAACTGTCATGTTTGAGGACGCCTCGAGCCGTTCTGGGCCTCTTGAGACCTCGGGGATTCGAGAGCTTCTTTCTCTCCCTGGTGGAAGTGCTAGCTCCCCCGTGGAAGGGCTGGTCTCGCGGTGGACGTTGGAAGAAGATGTGAAGGGCAAACCGCTAGCGTGAGCCATTTTTTTATCAGGGCGAGCCTGCCCCCTCCCTCGGCCGCCCTGGCCGCCGCCTGCTGCGCAGGCTCCTCTCGGCACTCTTCGGCAGAGGCCTGGCCCCTGGGCCGTCAGGCTGGCCACAACCTGGGGGAGCTGTGGTCTTTACCCCCCTGGGGGGACCCATCGATTTGGACACCCCTCTCGAGAGATCGCCGATGCGATGGGTTCCCCCAGGGAGGTAAGGACCACAGCTCCCCCAGTTGTGGCTGGTCGGGTCGTGCCTGGCTGCGCCCGCGGCCTGCTCTGGACATCGGCCCCGCCTGGCAGCCTCCCCCTCCATCGAAGGCCCCGGTGTGTTGCTGGCCTCGGCCCGTCCGACGGAGCTCGCTGGCCAGGCCTCGTCCCTGGGTTTTGCGCTTGGCTTGCGTCCCGGCCCTCGCCTGGAAACCCCGTCCAGCTCGGCAGCTGTTCTGGTTGCTCCAGCTTAGCCCAGGAGGGGAAAGCACACAGACACACTTGATCGTCGACCCCCAGGAAAATATGGGAAAATATTGGAAGTGGGGAGGAAGACGAAAATCTAGAAAACATGAAAAGATATGGGGCATCCTGGGATTTGTGTCTTTCTATTTGCGTGCCCAAGGGCCCCTTGGTTGGCTGGCTCCCCAGTCGCCGGCCCTTCGGCTGAACACCCTGTGGCCCAGCCAGCTGGCCTTTGCGCTCTCGCGTGGGACTTCCTCGCACCTTATTCAGACGCTGCGCCCTCGACACTAGGAATCACGCTTTCGCAGTGGCCAATCTCACGAATTACTCGGGATTCGAGCCATCGCTGGAGACTCGTGATTTATGCAGGGCGCACGCTTCAGCAACCTGCCTGTTCGACCTGGCCGCCTGGGCCCGCCTTCCGACACGCCTGTTAGGGTCTACCCGCCCGATCTGCCCGTCTGGTTGTGCCACGTGTGTTCTGCTCCTAGCCCCAATCCTGCTACACTCTCTCCCGTGCTCTATCCCCCTCCCTCCCCCTTGCCCCTTTCTTTCATCCGTCCTCTCTTCCCCTGCCTTAGGGTCTGCGCGATTTTACACGCTGTTGGTAAGAACGATATACCCTAAGGGGGCACGGTCGAAGACGAAGAGTGCGGATATCGAGGGTTTGAGATATACGTGTTGAGTGGCACGCACGCAGATAAGAGCGAATCGTCTTAAATTGATTGTTGTTGTTATTGGTGTCGTTGGTGTTGTTGATGTTGGTGTTGGTGTTGTTGTTGTTGTTGTTGCTGTTGCTGTTGTTGTTGGTGCTGTTGTTGCTGCTGTTGTTGTTGGTGTTGTTGTTGTTGTGGTTGTCGTGGTTGTTGTTGCTGCTGCTGTTGTTGCTGTTGTTGCTGTTGTTGTTATTGTTGCTGCTGCTGCTGTTGCTGTTGTTGCTGTCGTTGTTATTGCAGTTGGTGGTGGTGCTGTTGTTGTTGTCGTCGTCGTCGTCGTCGTTGTTGTTGTTGTTGTTGTTGTTGTTGTTGTTGTTGTTGTTGTTGCGCTTGTTGATTTTGTTGGTGTTGATGATGATGATGTTGTTGCTGTTGTTGTTAAGCTCTCCTTTCTGAAGATTATTTAGTGTTGATCTCCCCTCACCGGTGCATCTTGTTGCTTCTCAGTCAAAGTGTGCCCTTCGACGCTCGCACCCTGTTTTGTTGACAGGGGAAGTCTTCCTGGTCAAACTGTGCCCTTGGCTTCCCGGACTACAACAACAACGGCTCCCGCCTGAGACTTCCTCCAATTTTACTCAGGACCTTCCCCTCCCATCTGAGAGTCCCTCCCAATTTGTTCAGGAATGGCGCTCCCTCTTGAGACTTCCTCACAATTTAGTCCGGGTCAAACTGCGTTGTTGCCACCCCGGGCTACAACAACAACGGCTCCTGCCTGAGATTGCCTCACAATTTATTGAAGAATCGCGCTCTCGCTTTGGACATCCTGGCAACTTACCACCGAACCGCGGCTCCCGCCTGATACTTCCTGACGATGTATTATAGAATCGCGTTCTCGCTTAGGACTTCCTCACATCTTACCACCGAACCGCTTCGCTTGATATTTCCTCAGAATTAATCCAGGTGCCGGTCCTCGACACTCAGGAATCGCGCAAACGCTACAAATTGCCTCGTGGTTTCAGCAGGACTCACGCTTCAACGACCCGCCCGCTCGACCCGCCCGTCGGGGCCTGCCCGCCCGAGTCGCCGCTCGCTGCCCTTCGCCCGCCTTCGATGCCCCTCGCTGCCCGTACTGGTTCCGCGGTCGCCTTCGCTCGCTGCCCTTCGTGGCCCCGTTGCTGCCCTCAGTGGCCCCGTCGCTGCCCTTTGTGGTCCCGCATTATATGCCCTTCGTGGCCCCGCTCGCACGCGCCCGTCGTGGCCCCATACGCATGCCCTTCGTAGCCCCGCTGTCGCCCTTCGTGGCCCCCTTGCTGCCCTCCGTGGCCCCTTTGCTGCCCTCAGTGGCCCCGCTGTCGCCCTGTGTGGCCCCGTATACGACTGCCCTTCGTGGCCCCCGCTCGCTCCCGTCGTGGCCCCATATGCATGCCCTTCGTGGCCCCGCTGTCGCTCTTTGTGGCCCCCGCGCTGCCCTTCGTGGCCCCGGTGCTGCCCTCAGCGGCCCCGTCGCTGCCCTCTGTGGCCTCGGATATTCTGCCTTTCGTGGCCCATGCTGGCTTTTCTCACGATTTACTTGGGAATCGCGTTATCGCGTTATTTACTTGGGGCTCGCGTTCTCGCTCGGGACCCACGCTTCAGCAACCCGCATGCTCGACCTCGTCGCTTGGGCCCGCCTTCCCGACCTGCCCGCTATGGGTCTGCTCACCCGATTTGCCCGTCTGGTTCTACCATTTGTTTTCTGCTCCTTGCCCCCCTCCTGCTAATTTCTCTCGTGCTCCATTCTTCTCACTCCCCCTTCCACCCGTCCTCTCTTCCTTTGTTTGCGGGGCTTCACTAAATACACGTGGGAGGTAAGGAAGATATACCCCAAAGGGGGTACGATCGAAGATGACGAGGGCGGGTACCGAGGGTTTGAGGTATACGTATTGCTTGGCACGTGCGCAGATAGGAGCGAACAGTCTTAAACTGATTGCTGTTGTTGTTGTTGTTGGCGTTGTTGTTGTTGGTGTTGTTGTTGTTGGTGTTGTTATCGTCGTCGTTGTTGTTGTCGTCGTCGTCATCGTCGTTGTCGTCGTTGTTGTAGAATTTTTGTTTTGAATGAATATTGTTGACCCCCCCTCTGGTGATCATTGCATTTTTCAATGAAAGTGCTTTTCCAATGGCTCGCACCATGTTGTTTACAAGGGAAAGTGAGGTGTCACCAAACTGTGTCCCTGCCCCCCCGGTTACAACAACAACGGGTTGCCGCCTGATAGTTACTTTCCTCACAATGTAGTTCAACATCGCGCCCTCGTGCGGGACTTCCTCACAATGGATATAAGAATCGTGCTCTCGCGTGGGACGTCCTCGCAACTTATTCAGGCGCCGCGCCCTCGGCACTCAGGAATCACGATCTCGCTCTGGATTCCCTCACGATTCATTTGGAATCGTGCTATCGCTCGAGACTTCCTCGCGATTCATGCAGGGCGCACGCTTCAGCAACCCGCCTGCCCCTTGTCCCTTCCGTCCATCCGTCCTCTCTTCCCCTGCCTTAGGGGCTGCACGAAATATACGTTGCAGGTAAGAAAGATGTAACCCTAAGGGGGCACCAGCGAAGATGAAGAGGGCGGGTATCGAGGGTTTGGGATATACGTGTTGAATGGCACGCGAACGCATGAGAGCGAGCAGTCTTAATTCAGTGTTGCTGTCCTTGTGTTTATTGTCGTTGCTGCTGCTGTATTTGTTGTCGGTGTCGTCGTCGTCGTTGATGTTGTTATTGTTGTTGTTGTTGTTGTTTTTGTTGTTGTTGTTGCTGTTTTTGTTGTTGTTGTTGTTGCCGTTGATATCGTTTTCGTTTTCGTTGTTGTTGTTGTTGTTGCTGTTGTTGTTGAACATTATTAATTCTAAAGAATAATTATTGTTGGGACCCCTGGTGCACGGCCCCCCTGCGCCGCCTAGGCCGCAGCTACATTTTCATCATTTTCGTGAGGAAGCCTCAGGTAATTCGATGTGATCAAGATCCGGTTGTTTTGTTCCCCCCCGCTTTCCCTTGCAAAAAACACTATAAAATGACATTTCTTGTTCTAATATAATCAAATTTCAAGAATCCCTTGCAAAAAATAAGGTAAAGTGGACATTCGCGCGCGCAAGACGAAATCCTTCCAAAAGCTTAGTGTTCGGAGCGATTTTAACATAAAAACATCAAAAAACCAATGGTTTTTCAACAAAAAAATGTCAAAATCTCATCCCGCGCGCTCTTGCGGATTCGTAGGAAACCCAACACTTTTTAAACATTTCTGTCAAACGGGCTTTTGCGAGCAACTTTTTCGAACTTCTGCGACAACGGTTGCGCACCTGCCAGGGCCATCATCCCTGTCAAATAATACCATGCGGGACACATTCGTTTTTTCTTCGCGCGCGCACGCCGAAATCTCCAAAAACCATCGGGACAACCATATCCTCTCTCT